GAAGAGCTGTGGTCATGTTGAGAGAGTTTCACCCAGTCTTCTCCCCAGCAAAAGAAAAGTAGCTTTTGAGGGTTCTGATGTTCTGTGAACAAGGTGAGCATCCCATGTAGCAAAGAGGGACCTGCCTCAGTTCCTGCATAGCTACACCAGTGTAAGTTTGGTCTGCCGATGGGAAACATGCCCAGTGGGCAGGTTTCAGCTGATGGCTTGTTTCGGGTGAGGGGAGATGGCAGGGTAGAGGATGAATTGGTGGTGCACACAGAGAACTGCAGGCCTGATTCAACTTTGCTGATTGAAATAGCTGGTTCACACTCAGTTAGCAGCAGCGAGGTCTTCTCCTTCCAGCCAATGTCTTGGCCAGTGGAGCGTGACTGCTGTAGGAGGAACTAAGTTCAAAGGCTGAGAAAGAAACACATCCTCAGGAGCTGTGTAAAATGAACCAAACCCTGCTGATGTGTGATCTTTTCTGCCAAGCACTTAACATCAACCATATTGCCCTAACAAAGCGTGATGAGAAGAATTTGAAACCAAACTCTCCTCCCCTTGTCAGTGCCGCTGTAAATCACTTTCCTCCTGTGTACTCATCTGCAGGCCGAACCCTTCCTTGCCAAGGCTGTAACCCTGCGGGAATGAAAATGCAGCAAAGAATCCTCAAAAAAAGGCAAGAGTCCCCTATTTTCTTGTGTGCATCTCATTTTGTCACTCCTGTTGCACAATCTGCTGCCTAAGGTCCACAATTTAAAAGCAATGTCAGTGTGAGAAAGCTAGAGCTGCATTTGTGTCTAAAAGCTGGAATTTCTCTTCCAGTAGGATAAAAGCTTGGGACGCGTCAGTAGTGCTCTCTGATGGTCCCGTCCAGGTGGACAGAGCCTGCTCAGGATAGCCCTTTGCTTCCATTGCAGAACGAAGTGCCTGCGCTGGCCACTGGGAACCTCATGGAGCTGCTGCAGCACACCGAGTACTGGATGCATCTTTAAATTGTGCCTGCCTTTAATAACTGAAACCACCATGACTAGACTTTTACCTTCGGATTTGTCAGCTTTTATTGTATTATTTACTACAGCTAGATAAGTTGCCAAGGCTTCAGTAATGCTCTTTGCTTGGGAAAAATGTTCACTGGAAGCTTATTCATGGGAGAGTTGACCAAGCTGACGTTCTGTGTGGCGTGGGTAACCAAGGCATGCAGCCCCACAGGGAGGTCCCCAGCGCTGTAAGTGGCTCACAGCTGGGTGTGAAGCAGGTGTTTTCTTGCCTTACCTACAGCAAGAGCTGCAGGTCGAGAAACACAACAGCAGTGTGGGTTGTCAGCATGATTTCTTCCTGTCCTCTAGCAAATCAGGCCTGATGGGGCATCACTCCGTGTCTGAGATCTAGCAGGGGCTTGCTGGGGGGGGGGTGGCCAGACCTGGGGAGCACAGTGCTGCCTGGGGACCCAGGCCCTTTGGTTCAGAGCACGTCAGAGGTTGCCCCAGCCTCTGTCCATTCCTTGGCCAGGTGGGACATGTGGTCACTTCCCACCAATGACCCGCATCCCTGAGGGGCAGTGACAACCAACCAGAAGCTGCATGCAGAGAGCTCTGATTCCCTTTTGACTCACCGCAGCCTTTTGCTTCTCCTTGTAGGGGTGTTTAACTCCACCGGCGCAGCATTTCCAACCCCATCCATCCATGGGATACGGCATCGGGACAGGGGTGTTTCTGCCTGCTGCCCATCCTGCCTGCTGTCAGGGAGGGCACGGGCTTGTTGGGCATCGCACTTCTTTCCCGTTACATTTTGCTGCATGGAGGCAAATTTGCATGGAAAAGCTAAAGTTAGTGGCTGAAACAGCTGCTGCGTGGAGGTGGTTGTTATAACAAAGTGAGTGTCACGGGTCTCTGCAGAATAAACTGAAAAGACAGGGCCATTAGCAAGCAGGTCAGGCATTGCCTGAAAATTGAGCTCAGCAGCACGTCGGGCTCCCAAGGAGGATGGGAGATGAGCAGAGGAGATGTTGGCTTGCTTGACCTTTTCTATTGGTGAGGTTGAAATTCTGTCTCTTGCCATTGAGTGGTGGATAAAAGGGCTCGGCTAACTCTGATGGGGGAAAAGGGTCTCTTCACATTGCATACTGACCCCAGATCTAGCTAATTTGGGGATGGGAGTGGAAAAAGAGATGTGGGAAAATTGGATGCATTTTTTTGCCACTCACAGGTGATAACCATCTGTCCCTGCAAGCAATGTTCCTGAGGCAGGGTTAGGAAGCTGACAGCCCAAATTAGTTCTTTTTATCTTAGCAACACTAATTTTCATGCTGCTTTCAAGCCCTATACCTGGTGAGACTGGGGCCAAGCCCAAAGATCCTGACCTGGAGGTTCTCTCACAGGATGGCTGGGGTGAGGCGAGAGGAAAGGAGCACCCAGGGAGCCTCTCCCATAGGTTCAGTGCACCCTCTCGTGGCAAGCGGCCACAGCGGGTGCCTGGGCAGGGTGTGGGTGTTGGTAGGTGGCCACTGAGTGGGGCTCAGCTCCTTGGCATCATCCTGGTGTGTACATAGGGACCCACCAGCCCTCCCATGGGGAAACTGTTTGGGGTGCTGGGTCCAAGCTCAGGGCACCCCAAGGCGGGCTCCACCATTTCCTGTGGGGTCCGCCCACCTCTCTCCCCTCCCTGCTTTACACAGGGAAAAGCAATAGTTCATATAAAATACTTGAAGCTGCCTTCCCCTCAGCCAGGATCAACCTGTCCTTGTCCCTCTGACACTTTTCCTCCCTGTGAGGAGCCTGCAAAATGAATCAGTGCTTTGTATAAACAAAGCCCCGGAGAGGTATCAGTAAAAAAAATGGTGTTCAGGAGTTTCACAAATGCAGTTTTTTCCATGAGAGAAAAGCACAAAAAGGTTTTTTCTCTGTAACTCCTTAACTCAGGGAAGGATTTCTCTGTCTGGCCATCCAATTTCCCCCCTCCCACCACCTGGGATCCAAATCTCGGTTTTCTGAAAAGTGCCTCTCCTTTCTCTTGCTCCTTCAGGGGGACATGAATTCAAACCCCAGTCGCTTTCCCTGTGGGAAGGCTGTGCTGCCAGTGCTGTGCCTTGTCCAGCCATGTCCCGCAGCCTTGGATGTGCACACAGCAGAGGGGGAGCTGCTGCAGGGGTGAGTGGTGGGACGGGGTGCTGAGTGGCCCCCATGGTTGGGCGAGCATCGTCACACTGCCGGGGTCCCCATCCCAAACCAGCAAGGGCTCGGCAAGCCCTCGCTCCCACCTGATCCCTGCATGCTGGCGTTACCTTCCTGCAACTTTAAAGTTCCCTCGGCGCACAAAGCAAAAGAGGGAGGAGAAAGGGTTTCATCATCGCTCCCGAGAGCAGACTTATAAAAACTTTGCGCTCACACTGCCTGCCTCACTTACAGGCTTGGAGGGTTTTCAGCGCAGACTGTGTGTACGGCTGGCAGTGGGACAGGCCAGAGAGGGACAGGAGCCCGCGTGCAGCCCAGCTATTCAGGGCTCCCCAGGAAGCCTCCACGATGGGAGTCCACCCCGAAGCTGGCAAATCCCCAGTCAACGTCCCCAAAAGGTCCGGCACGTGCTCCTGGAGTATCTTCTGCAACATCAAGGTAAAGAGCGGTGCCTGGCAGGGTTATGTTGCTTCCCCAGCAAGCAGAGAGGAGGATGCTTGTGCAGAGAGTGACCCCAGCCCATCCCACGGGTCCCTGCATCCCCGGTACAAACCACCAGTAAAATGAATGGTGTTTGCTAAGATGCAGAATTTGAAAGTCAGCTCCTTAGGCAGACCTGGATAACACCACTGAGGTCTGTCCCACTTGGCGCATGGGAAGGGCTGGGGGGCTCGGTGGATTTTGGAATGGTACCCTGCACAGTGTATGGGTGTTGTGTCCTGTGGAAGTGGCATGGGCAGCTCTCCGTGGGCTGTGGAGCTTACCCACGGCATCCGGTACACAATGTGCTGCTGCTTAGGGAATGATTAACCACATCCTGGTGCAAAAAGAAAACACTGCCCTATAGTAACTCTGACTCGCTTTAAAAATCATGGTGAGAAGGGCATTTTGAGTGACAGAAGCAAAATCTCAGTGGGTCGAAGTGGGTTTTCTGGTGCTGGCTGCCCAGTTACTCACCTGCCCTTATTAGTAGGGTGAGAGCTGTCATCTTCAAGCTGGTTCCTGCTGGAGCTTCAGGCTCTTGAGCTCACTCTCTGTGTGAGAAAACACCAGCCACCCTGGCCACCTCTCGTATTTTAAACGCTGCTAATCATTGTGCTTTTACACCCCTGGCCTCGTCTTTTTTCCCCCCCTGTGTGGCACAATTTGGGCCATTTTTGGATGGGCACCGAGGCTGCTGCATGTGCAGATTCCTGTTCCCCAGGACATCTGCCTGCATTGGCCAGGATTTCCCTGGGTGGAGGGGATTTTCATGCCTCACTTGGCAGCACCCCCACACATCAGCATCCGAAGCAGCCATGTGCAGTTTTGGGGAAACGGCAGCTCCCAGCAGCACCTGCCCAAGGGCAGAGCAGCTTTGGGTGCATGAGAGGGGCCACCAGCTGGCAGGACCCCCTTGTGCTGGTGCTGCTGGTCATGCCCAGGGCTGGGATGTGATTTCCCACCTAGTGTTATTGAACATGAGCGTGTGTTTGCCGCGAGGAAGGGTTTGTCAGCACTTTCCAGATAAGTGTGTTTTCAGGAGCATGCAGCCATGGGTAGGGCATTGATGTTCGGGATGGGTTTGGGTTTCATTTGCCACCCATCTTTCCTCACCTTGCATGAAGGAGGGCATTGCCAGCTCCTCTTTGGGTTGCACTTGCTTGGAGTTGGTTTCTGGGCAGCAAAAGTTTCACCAAATAGTGGGGCCCCAACAGGTCTGTCGGGCTGCTGTGGGGTAACACGGGGCCATTCCCAACAGGCTAGTCCTCCTCCTGGGGTGTCCCAGGGCTGGAAATGCTTCCAGATGATGTATTCCAGTCCTACATACCTGAAGGTCCCTACTGCCCTGAAGGTCATCCCACCAGCAGGTGACTTGATATCTGTTTCTGGCTGTGAGCTCCAGGAGGAAGAGCTTGAGATTACCCTAGGGCTGCCTCTGGGCTACTCTGGCATGCCTCTGGAGAGTACTGGTGACCTGACCCCTCCTCTGGTGGAGGTGCAAAAGGTGGCCCAGGCCTCTGGGCTGCTCCAATAATGACCATGGCTCAGGATGAGTCATGTCACCCAAAAACAGAGCCCCTCTTGCAGTTCATGCTTTTTCCTGGAAACAGGTACAGTTCCCTTCAGCTGCTTGCTTGCAAAATTATCCTGGAACTGAAAAAACATTGCCAAACTCAATGCTTTTTTCAGGATGTAAAATTTTAGGGCTAAAATAAGCCCCAATAAGTGTTAATCCATCTCTGCATCCCATAGGCAGCCGCAGATGCAGGCTGCGTGTGCCGCTGGTGTCGGGCTGGGTGCTCAGCACCCCGCATGAGGGGCTGTGTTCAGCACCTCCTAGGTGCATTTAGCCAAAGGCAGATGACACGAGGGTGTCAGTTGGCCAGTGGCAGGAGCTCTGGCTGCACCATGAGGTGCCTGTCTGGCTGCCTGCACCCATCAGTTTCAGCTCAAATCCCAGTGTCTGGTGCCAGCTGGAGGGCTTAAGTCTTAGTTTCAAAATGAGCAGGAAGCCTGGAGCTCCCCAAAACAGCCAGGCACCTGCCACTGAGCCTGTCTGGAGGGTCCTAGGATGTGGTTTTTGGAGGGAGAGGTTATGCTGCAGCACCCGGTGTGGCAACCATGTGTGGGACCATGTGCAGAGTGATCCCACGAGCTGGAGATGCCACCAGAGACCCCCCCACCTCCCGCCTGCCCTGGCTGGTGCAAATACAGTTGCACTAAGGGAAAACCAGCACATGAAAAGAAGCACTTTTGTTTTAAAAGGTCAACAGGTTTTTGCTAAATTAAGGGGAACTGGCCCTTGATTTAGCACAGCCCAACACTGACACCATGCAAGCTCATTAGGGAACAGTTTGAGCTCTATCAAAACATGCTTGCTGGCATCAGACAGATGATGGGTACCATCTGGAATGGTGTGGAGTCAGGACACCCATACCTTGGAGAAAAATTCTTGCTTTTAAGAGCAAATGTACATAAACTGTCAGGCAATGACATCCCCCACCCTTTCCTGACCTGTTCACTCTTCCTGTGCTGTGACATTCGTGTTAAAAATACACGTACATTAAAAAAAAAAAAAAACTACTTCAAGGTAGGAAAGCACTAGCCTATGTGCAGTTGTCAATCCTCTCAGCCCCTCAAAATTAGTAGAAAATCAAAGTGTCATAGCTGAATTTCCAGGTTTGGGAAGTTGTTTTGTTGTGAATGTGTTGTCAGAGGGCAGGGCATACAGTAAGCATCTCAGTTTATATGGCTTTATAGCTGTTGTTTGTATGAGAGGCCATTGGTGCTGTGAATAATGTATTATATAGAGTCTTCATCCAGCACCTAATGGTGTGAGAAGCTGCTGGCACTATAAAAGGGTTTAAATTAATAAGATATAGTGTCCTCGTACAAACAATGGCCATTTCTGACAGGGACAGTATTTCCAAAACAACAAAATCCCCGAGTTGTAGCAGGCTGCAAGTCTTAATCACGAAGCTCATATTTAATCCATAAAGCTCACATGCCAGGAACATTTTCAGAGTGCCTTTTGCAGGGCTGGGGCCAAAAATAATGAATTGTTTTTCTGTGCGAACCATCTTGCTCCTCCATGTTCACTGAGATGGAGACCTCCCTGCCCTGGTTCCCATTGCTGTCGGGGTGTTTTTCAGCACTGGCCCTGTTGCCATTGATGTTCAGAGGTGTGGGAGCATGATGGTGCCAGGGATGGGCATCAGAGAGGGAGAGGTCCTGGTGGAGAGCAGCAGTTTTAATGGTTCTGCAGGGATTCGAAGAGCGGGATGGGGATGGCAGCTCTGGGGATGGATGGGATGGAGGTGCTGCTGGGGATGCAGGAGGACCAGTGCAGAAGCAGGTGCTTGGGGAGGCAATGCCCAGTGGATGTGGCTGCTGGCTCATAGCCGTGCTCTGACACGACAGGCATTTACGGCTGATCTCTGTACCCTACGGGAGCGTGGTTGGTGACAGTTCCTTGTTGCTGCTGTGGAAGTTACTCCCTGTTATACGTAGGTATTAATGACTGCAGCTAATACTGCAGTTACACCAAATGGCACCAAGGCGCTGCCTGCACTGATATTTAAGGGCACCACCTAGATCAGCTGACAGCGTGTTTGCTGTCTGTGCTGTATCTCATAGCTGGAATAAACGTGGTCATTCTGCTTACATTTTTGAGTGCCCTCTCAGATGTGGCAGGGTTGCTCGAACTCCTCTAGAAGCTGGCTGTTGGCCTTGAATCACCTTGAAGAGAGAAAGCAGAATGCAAAATGCCTTCAGTTTTTGGGGCTGGGAGGTTGCTATTGAGCACTGTCCCCTATGAGAAGCCTAGAGCATCTCAGTAATCCCACAGCAGTGGTGGAGATGGGTGATGATAAGCAAGGACAGTCCCCTGCTTTGAAGTTTACCAGAACTTCCAGAGTTGTCCTGACTGGCACTGGGAGGTTGTAGTTGCTCTGCTTGGCAAACGCAGGATGAAGCCAACCTCCAGGTGGCTGCCAGCACACAGTGGCACCAGGGACACTGAGGACCTCACAGCCTAAAGTAACAAAACAGGTTTGAAAGGTGAAGTGGATGGTTAGTCTTTCTGATACCCAAGCAGCATGATCATGGACCCCATCAATGCCCCCTGGTCCAGAGTCCTAACCACTATCTCCAGTCATCATGTCCATGCCCACCTTGCCCTTCCAGAGATCTACTGAAAAAGGATTATTTCAAAGATGTCATCTATTTGCAGTGCCTCAAATGTTTTGGCTTCTTCACCTTTATTATCTCTTTCATGGTTTTGTGCTGTTTTAATTGATAGCTAATTGCTTGTTCAGGATCCCCAGAAACATGAGTAAGAGGAGAGCTTTATAAATATCTTGTTAGTTAGCTGAGTTGGACTGGTTTCAGCTGGAAGCTGGTTAGCTGGAGAGCAGAGGGGAGCAGCATGAAATGGTTGGGAGCGCAGGCAGAGGGAGGCTTTTACCCTGCAGACTGCCTGGAGTGGAAAATGATGCATGAGGGTAACTGAGAGTTATTGTCACTTATGTCAGCTGGAGGGAGTCCAGGAGGAGATTTAAAAGCCTTAGGGGCAGATTTAAATTAGGTGCTATATTGAGGCAGGGAGATGGATGGTATGGAAGAACATAGGAGAGGGGACAGCAAGGTTAGGAGAAGACTGGGCTCTCTGAGTGTGAAAACGCTTCCCAGGGTGAAGATGCTGGGGGCACGCAGGTGCAATAGACAGGAGCAGGGAGCTCCCTCCTCTCTGGGGAGGCTGGATGCCTTCTGCAGAAGAAACAGGAGCCTTGCCTTGGGGTCTGAGGTCCCAACAGCATTAGGGCAAGTTTTTTGTCCCTTCCTTTAGAGAGACTAAAGGAATTTACTGAGAGAAGTGTCTTTCAGAAGCCTGGAGAGGTAACAGTTGTGCTTTCATATCCTGTGGGAAAAGACAATGAATTGCCTTGTTTAGCTGT